GGGGCTGAAGGGGCTGGGGGGCTCGTGGGGGGCTGGGACACCCTGTCGCCAAACGGGGCCGGCCCCTGAGCCGTGTCCTCCCCAGTTCGACACCCCCGAGAAGGAAAACGTCTCTGAGGGCGAGAGCCCCATCATACTGCGCCGGTGCTCCTTGACCTCCTCCATGTCTGAGGAGGAAGATGACGGCTTCATGGAGATCCTGGATGAGGAGGAGATGAAGGTAGGGAGGGCTCCTCCGCCTGGGGGGGCTGCGGGGCTGGGTGGACCCCGGGCACGGGTCGGGCAGTGGCCGGTGGGACTCGGCCCCTTCATGCTCTCCTCTGCCTCTCCCCCGCGGCCCTCCCGGCTGCCGCCCCGGCAGAGCGATGCCGACGTGCCGCAGGGGATGGAGAACCTGCTGACCGCGCCGCTGGTGAGGAAGGAGGAGGCAGAGCCGGTACGTGGGAGCCTCGGGGTGGATGGAGCCCCAGGCTCCCCCCCGGGGTCTCCAAGGGGGATCCAGGGGCAAGGGGGCGAGCAGCACCAGCCCAGGGGCTTTGGGCTCATCCCGGGTGGTGCGCGGCCACCAGAGCGGGACCCTCGTCCCCTCGCCCTTGCGGTGCTGGTGGGAGCTGGGGGGATGCCGGACCCCCGGGCAGCAACAGGGGCTCTCCCCGCACAGCGTCCCGCAAAGCGCGGCAAGTGCCGGCAGCTCTTCCGCTCGCCCTCGATGCCCAGCAGCGTCATCAGGCCCATCCTGAAGCGGATAGACCGGCCCCAGGACAGGGACACCCCCGTCAAAACCAAGCGGCGGAGGAGCGTGGCCGGTACCCCTGGCGAGGAGGCGGCGGTGGCGGAGCCGGTGGGTGACGGGCAAGGCTTCAGGGTGAGGCGTCCTCGCCGGGGACTGCCCCGTGCCCCGGCTGCGCCGGCGCCTTTGCTAACGCTGGGGGGGTTTCTCCAGTTTGTGTCTCCGCAGAAAGCGCGGCTGCTGCGCTCCAGGTCCTTCTGCCAAGAGGAGATCGAGAACCTGCTGGCCAACGACCACCGGGAGCTCATCGGGGACTTCTCCAAGGTAGGGCCGCGGCTGGAGGCCTGGGGGTGCCGCCCCCTTCCCCAAAGCAGAGGGGCTGTCAGCAGAGCCCTGCGCCAGTGCCGGAGCCCCAGCCCAGCTGGTGGCCCTTGCCTGGGGACAAGGGGACTCGGGGCGGTGGCTCTCCAGCCTGCAGACCCTGTAGCACGTCAAGAGCCCCCTTGCTGCTCCTCTGGCGCCAGCACCGTGCCATGGCTCCCATGGGGGAGCCGATGTCGGGGTCGGGGGGAGCGGGTGACTGCCCCTGCCCGGGAGGTGTCCCCGGGTCGGATCCTGACCCAGCACCCCCCTCTCCTCCAGGCTTATCTCCTGCAGACAGTGGAGGGGAAGCACCAGGACCTGAAGTACATTTCCCCCGAAATGGTAAGGGAGCAGCAGCCTCTCCCCGAAACCCCGCCGTGGGGGCTGGCTGCCTGGTGTGTCCCCTCCCCGTGTTCCCCCCGCCTCGGTGACGGGCTCCCCCCGCAGATGGTGGCGGTGCTGACGGGGCAGTTCAGCAGCCTCATCGAGAGCTGCGTGATCGTGGACTGCAGGTACCCCTACGAGTACGAGGGAGGCCACATCAAGGTCAGAACCGCCGCTGCACCCCTCGGGGCTGGGGACGGGGTTGGGGGGCTCCTGGTCTCCGACCCATCAAACCTCAGAGGGGCTGATCCCCCGCCCCCCCCCAAAGGTGCTGATCCCCCCCCAAAGGTG